TTGAGGAATCAATTGGGTTCTACTTTGAAGGAGCTTCCACCCACAACTGGGCTTGACTGGATTTGTGTTTGAGGCCATTTCTTTTTCAAATCATGATCAAGCAGATACTTGGTAAGCTTCCACGGAAGCCATCTAAGTCAGCTGAGAATCGTGAGTTTGGGGGTTCATCTGCCTCTTCATTAAGTTCAAGAAGCAGTGATGTAGTAAGTAATAGGCCAATTAACTCAAACAGCCTACCTCTGTTGGGTCTTGATTCTGCTTCAAATTTAGGATATAGCCATGGAAGTAAGCTCCCTCAACTTGTAAATTCAAATTTAAATGGAAGTTCTGCTACTGCTTCTTATCAAGCGTTGCCAGCATTTAGGGATGTACCAAGCTCTGAGAAGCAGAACTTGTTTATGAAAAAACTGAACTTGTGTTGCGTAGTGTTTGACTTCACTGACCCAACAAAACATCTGAGAGAAAAAGACATCAAGCGGCAGACGTTGCTAGAGCTGGTAGATTATGTTACTTCTGCAAATGGAAAATTTACTGAAACTGTCGTGCAAGAGGTTATAAAAGTGGTAACTGTGAATTTGTTCAGGTCGTTCTCTCCGCAGCCCCGTGAGAACAAGGTTTTGGAAGCATTTGATTTGGAGGAGGAGGAGCCCTTGATGGACCCTGCATGGTCACACTTACAGATTGTGTATGAATTTCTTCTGAGGTTTGTTGCATCGCCCGAGACAGATGCAAAGTTGGCTAAGAGGTACATTGACCAGTCTTTCGTACTCAAAGTATTGGATCTCTTTGATTCTGAGGATCCTAGGGAAAGGGAGTATTTGAAAACAATTCTGCATCGCATCTATGGAAAGTTTATGGTGCATCGCCCATTCATTAGGAAGGCAATCAACAATATATTTTTCCGATTTATTTTTGAAACAGAAAAGCATAATGGGATTGCTGAGCTTTTAGAGGTTTTGGGCAGTATAATCAATGGATTTGCTCTTCCACTTAAAGAAGAACACAAACTCTTCCTTGTTCAGGTTCTGATCCCCCTTCACAAACCAAAATGCTTACAAATGTACCATCAGCAGTTGTCCTACTGCATTTCACAGTTTGTGGAGAAAGATTGCAAGCTTGCAGATACTATTATAAGAGGCTTATTAAAGTACTGGCCAATCACAAATAGTTCAAAGGAAGTCATGTTCCTAAGTGAGCTGGAGGAAATTTTAGAAGCAACTCAGCCAGCAGAGTTTCAAAGATGTATGGTACCCCTCTTCCGCCAACTATCTCGTTGCTTGAGCAGTTCACATTTTCAGGTAGTGAGCTGTGTCTTCATCTAATTTAATGTTTCTTTGCGCTTTGCATATTCAGACTTTCCAAGTCTTTAGCTCTTTCCTCAGTAAGTAAATTTAGTCTAATTCTGGAAACATGTCTTCGTTGTATTTAAGAAATAGTTATTGAAGAGAGTAAAAGAGGTGGGGAGAACCAATCTCTCTCTTCCTCTTGCGCTCTAAAAGGTTTTGCATCTCACCTTTCATTAGATCTGATAAGTATTGTCTGCTATCTGGTTTGTTTTTACCTTTTTATAGACCATTAGTCATTATTATTGTAATTCCATCCATATTCGAGTACCAGGTACTTCTTCTGAATTCTTTTCTTGGACAATGTTATAGTTTTAGAAAGGTTATGCTCACAATTAATGCTTCTTTTCACTTTGATATAGTTTTCAGTACAGATAAAATGTTTCTTTGGCACAGACGCATATCTATATGTTTCTAATGAAAATTCTAAATAGTGACTGCTATATATAACTGATCGCTGTTGCTGGATTGCATTGCTTAGCAGTTATCTTATTATCACTTGGATGATTTTGACTGATGGTAGTGGCATAGAGGATCAAATGCTATTATGCTGCTGACCCCCTAGTTGGAGATGCTGAATAATTATGCATGTCTGAAGTCAAACCATTTAATTGGATTAACTGTTCACTCTTGTGTATGTCAAATGTCAAGCAATGTTTGGAAAATCATTTGGCATATTGATTGAATCTAGGAATTAGCATCTATTACTATTTCGTCGTTGCCTTTCATTTACTGAATTCCAGTTTTATGTATGAAATCCTGATCCGGTATATACTCAGATTACGATCCTAGTTTTACTTGTGATAACAACACATTCCCTACCTATCCTGACCAAAAACCTTGAGCTGATTGATGCGTGCTTTTATAGGTGGCAGAGAGGGCATTGTACTTATGGAACAATGATCACATTGAGAACTTAATCAAACAAAACCGTAAAGTCATAGTACCCATCATCTTTCCAGCCTTGGAGAAGAATGGTCGCTACCACTGGAACCAAGTGGCCCGGAGCTTGACATTAAATGTCCGTAAAATCTACTCTGATGTTGATCCTGAGCTATTTGAGGAGTGTTTGCTCAAATTTCAGGAAGATGAAGCAAATATGGAGGAGATTAAAACAAAACATGAAACCACCTGGAAGCGCTTAGAAGAGAGTGCTGCTTCTAATGCTGTTAGCAGTGGAGCAGTTGTTCACTGCTTGAACCCAATTGAAACATCTTCAAACTAATGATAGAGGGATATATTCATGTAGTTCGAAGGTCTTGTGTTTCTTTTTTACTGCTTTTTGGCTCGTTTGGGAGGGAGCATTGCGTGGTTGTGTGCATTGAGAGGTTGAACACTATTAGATAGTTGTCCATACACTTTTCTGTTTGTCCCTCTATTTTTGGCTCTTTTCACCCTAACGTTCAAGAGAAACTCTGCACAGCAATGAAGTTCGTGATTCTGGAATTTTCACAGATACCATATGCTGGAAACAACAAAGCAGGAGTTAGAAGCTACATTACGCATTGAGGATGGCGAACATAGAGCTATGGTTGATGGTTATAAGGGTTAACATGAAAGAAGCTACAAGATACAGGTAATTTTATCCACTTGGAGTTTATTTAATTGGTTTGAAGTACTTACTAAACTACTTAGTTTCGTTTCTGTTTGTGTATGTATTATAATATCTAAACAATCCGTTTGTGTTTGAATTTTTTGAATATATTGATATACTTCTGAATGCCTTTTGTTGGAATGAATGTTCTTAATTGGTTTGCTTTGGGTTTTATCTTCCTAAGCAAATGATTCCAAAATACTAGATAACAATGACTCTGCCTTCGTGTCATTCTAATCTATTTCAAAGTTGAAAATGAATGAAGCAATTCCATTAAAGTTATAATAAGTACTAGGAAAGAGAGCAGGGTCTCCAAGGCATGCATGTGCCAAAGACGGTAGAGAAACTACTTGAACCATAGGACTAGACTACTAAAGAAACTAGTAACGTAATCCTAAGAGCTTGATGCCAGGAAACAATATTCCAGAAGCTCATGATCAGATTTAGCCATATCTTCTACTAAAGAAACTAGTTATGCAGTCCTAAGAGCCTTTTGCCAGGAGACAAAACTCCAGAAGCTCATGATCACATTCCAATTTAGCCATATCTTCTTCTTCCAAGGTCATCCATGCCTCTATACCATCGCTAGAGCTACTACTCATCAATATGACAACATTTTTAATGGGCACATTGCTAATGCATGCCCAGACGGGTTTTCCC